AATATCGCGTTTGATGATAAACATTATTCTTATAAATTAATACCAGTATTAGATATTTAATACAAAGTCATTAAAATGCCATGGAATAAAAAAGATACCTATGTTTTTACTGATATTATTTTCGATGCAGAACATGATTAGTCGTCTTTTTCGTTTTGTACTTCGTTTCTTTTTTTCGATCATAATTGAGATTGTTTTATTTGTACATATGAATAAACACTTTACCGCGTATATTCATTTTTTAATATTATTTATTTTTATTTTTTCGGAATAGTCGTTAGGCGCGGTCTATGTCCTGTATAGAAATCGTCCTGAAGAAAGACCGAGGCATCAACACAGACTTTTGCTATACTTATAGATGAGAGATAGATAAGGAAACCGTGTGCGGTATATACTGAGATGCTCATTTTCTCTGATTTCAGGAAAGAAAACATAAAAATGCTGAACTGTGCATTGGAATTGAGGAAAAATTCAGAGTTCCTCTGCGAAAGGTTAGAAGTTTTTGTTTTTTTGTTAACTTCCCATTTTTTTCTCTCTCTTCTCCTCACTTATTGATACATCCTTTCACTTGAGCTTGTTTTGCCGTCAAATATACTCGTATTCATCTGTTTTTTCTTATTTTTATATTCTAGATATATATACAATGACAGACAATAATTATCCTCGTAATAGAAAATCAACGGCTGGTATCAGTGCCAAATATGATGAGAAAGACTATTTGTTGGTATCATTTCTAAATTTTAAAAAGCATGCTGTTGTACCATCACAAGTTGTTAATGTGGATCCACTTGATGAACGAAATGGCAGTATTAAAACATATGGTACCAAAAAACAATTACGAATTATTGCTAAAGGTAAGTGAATTACTTTGTTCCTGTGATTCTGAGAGCTTAAAAATGTTCTTACTTTCGTTTTCTGTTAGAAATTTTGAATTGTCGTGCACAAGTTTTTTTCAAAAGATAACCTTGAATTTTGTCGGTTTCTCAGTCTCACAACGTTAGAAACGAGAGTAGTGCAGGTCCAAAAGGCTGAAGCAATATATGCCTTCAAAAAAAAAAAAACTTTTATTTTAAATATAATTTCGTATGGTTCGAATTATGTTTTCGAATTTTGATTGTCGAATTCAAAGCTCGACCTCGACTATCTCTCACAGAATACGAGACAGGGGAACGAGCTGGGTAGTGAGAGTGAGTACAGAAAGAAATGCTTTGCATGCGCTGCGATTCCTATCTGTCCTGAACGGCGCACAGCAATTGTGCAATTCTACTTTTATTCTAAAGTTTGTAGCACATGGGTGGATGAAGCTATTGTTTTCTTCGCGGACGCGATGCATTTCTTTCTGTACTCACTCTTAGTACTCTTCTCTCTCGCCCTTTCCCACATCCTGCAAAGTGAAAGTCGAAATTCGATTTCTGAGCAGGGTTGGAATTGGAAAGCCTTGAAAATTCCCTTCTACGTACTTTCGAACTTCGAATTTGACCTTTGACTTTACGCGTATAAAAGAATGATGTTCTTCACAAATAGCATCAAATTGGTAATCGAGTGTGCTGTACCCGAATATCACAATGGTTTTCTCTCAAAGGTCTATGGAGACCCCGTTTTTTAAAAACCAGGTTTCCGAAACTCTAAAAGATTAACCAGAACGTTTCTTAATACGGCATGATTGAAGCCCAGAAATTTCTGATTAAAATGAGACGTCTCTCAGCTCTACACGCTTTCTTTCCAAAGTTATAGGATTTATAAGAAAAGCCCTAAATGTTCATTGTCAGCTCAAAGCTACAGAAATAAGAAATTAATTTAGGGCTTTTCTTATAAATTCAATAACTTTGCTAAGAAAGGTCGTGTAGAGCTGGAAGACGTCTCGTTTTAATCAGAAATTTCCGGGCTACAATCGTGCCTTATTAAGAAACGTTTTG